TTCGGAGGCCGCCGCCATTCGCCAGTGACGACAGGATCACGCCGCCAACTCCGCGCCACTCCCACTTTCGTGTGTGGACTCCATCAGTGGCTGCTGGCACTACCTCCCTGAGGCCTTGTCCACAGCCTCATCGGAATTGATTTCGGATCTCAGCAGATCCTATCCGTGGGACAATAAATGAAAGGCTCCAAATGTCGTGTGGGACTACTGGGCCGATGCAATGATGGGTTTTTTCTTTGGCATGTGTTAATGCGGGGTTACGTGTCTGTTCTGTCTGTTCCGGTTTTGGTGGTCTTAAACAAAAGGCCGGCGTTCGATTGCCACGATTGCTTTGATGGTTAGGCCGGCAGGATCCATTTCATTGACTAGTGTACATCGAAGCAAGATGTTCAGGATGGGAGCTTGTCGGGCGGTTCGGGTTCTGGTAAAATCACGGAGACATGGAGGTCCAGACCAACTTGGGTTTCTTTGGTTGTTGGCGTCAGCTTTTCCTATGGAGTTACCAGGTCACCAAAGTCACATTGATTACTTGTCTAGTAGATGGGTGTGGTTACCTACATACCTATGGACCGATGTACCGAGTCCCATGGGTATTCAGTAGGTATGTTGTCTAGATGCATAGATGGGTAACCTAGCTAGATAAGACGGAACAGAAGAGCCCTCTAAAGCACCCGAAAATGGACTTGTTCGTCCACGAATGAACGAATATCCTGTGTCCTTGTGACCAACCGTTGACGGGTAAACTTGGACTTTGCTGAGAATGGCGACTCGGTCAGCATAGTTATCTAACTCTCCTCCGCCGTTTCTATTAAGTTATAATGTGGCGTGGCGAAGCGAGGCAAGGTGTTGTGCGTCTCACAGACACACACACACACACAGACACAGACACAAACACACACACAGACACAGACACACACACACACACACACACACACACACACACACACACAGACACACACACACAGAGAGAGAGAGTGTGTGTGTATGGGTGTGCGTGTGTATGGGTGTATATTGCCTCAGACTTTTTTTTACTGTCATGCCTGCATGTTTACTCTTCATTCGTGTGCTATATATCCAGATTCAGATTCCAACGTATTACGTCCCATGAAACATAATCCCATAAAGACGATTACTTTTGATATTGGGTTTTCCTCTCTCGATCCCCCCCCCCCTCCCCTCCTGTCTTGACATTCAAACGCAAAACGGGTAGATACCATTGTTATGTCAACACCAGGATCAGAGTCGACGAGACGAGACCAGGCAACGCAACGCAACGCAACACAGCCCAGCAAAGCACAGCGGAGGAGGAAAAGGAAATCCACCCACTTCCAAACCAGGCTGGGTCCTGAAGAGCGAGACGAACTGGTTCATCGAGGACATTCAAAACTCAACATCATCATCATCATCATCATCATCACAGTCCAAGTCGAGATCGATGTCGCCGTCAGAATCGCCGTGCGCATACCCATTGACGGCGGCAGGTCCGTGTCGTCGGCTGTCCGAGTGTGGGTGTGGGACCCATAGTCGTCGAGGACGCGTGCATAGGGTGTCACTGTCTCCGTTTTGGTTGTCTCCCTGATCGTCGATATCTCCGTCTTCCGTGATCCCCTCGCCGTCATTCCCGCACTCGGTCTCATCGCCCTTGTTATTGCCATTACCATTGCCATTCTCAACGGGACCAGATCTCGGCAGGGTTCCGGCTCCTGGCTCGACCGTGGATGATGGCGTTGGTTCCTTGGGGCCGTTATGGTCCTCTTCCTCACGCGTAATCTCGTCGGAGAAGCCGTTTTGAACACCCATCATCTTCTGCTGCTGCTGCTGCTGCTGCTGCTTGGGTATTTCGTTTTTCTTGCATGAGGATAATCCCGCCGTCTTCCCGCCATCGCTCGACTCCGTGCGACTCTCGTCACACCCCACCACTTGTGCCGTCACTGCGTCCTTGTTCACTTTTGACTCGATCTTTTTTTGAATCTGCTCGTCCCTCCATTGGACCACGTCCGCGACTGCCTGCGCGGGATACTTCTTCCGGACCAGGAGAAAGCCTTGTATCTCAGCGGGCGAAAGGGTCCGGTCGGGGAGAGAATCGGCGAATCGCTCCGCCAGGTCGAAGACTGCGCTGCTGTTGGAAGTTTCCCTCGATAGAAGTCGTGGTTTTGGGGGGTCCTTGTGGCTGTTCTCGAGGCCATCGGTCTGATTGCCCCCTGTGCCCCAGTCCGTGAATGTGCTTGAACCAGGCCGGTCGGTTTCCGCTTGGTTCGGCAATATATGGCTGATCTTGGTCGGCTGCCTTCGCATCTCGATTGAGTCGGCACAGTACATCCGCAGAAAGAGATCCTTGATCTGCTGCTTGGTCGCCAGGTCAAACTTGATGGTCAAGTCAATCCGACCGGGCCTTGTCAGTGCTTCATCCAATCTTTCCACATGATTGGTGGTCATGATGAGGACCCGGCCTTCCTGACTTGCAACACCATCTATGGCATCGAGGAGGCCTGCGAATGTGAGCGTGTTCTTGAACGTCGGTTCTTTGCTGACCGAACCAGCCTGATCTGTTGCCTTGCCTGTAACTCCGGAGGTGTCGTCTTTGTCGTCTTTATTCTCGGCAGGGGTCTTCTTGTCCTGGTTATTTCCGCCAGATGGCAACTGGTCTGTTGTCTGTCGCTTTCCTACATCGTTCGAGCCTGGTGCCCTGCCTAGACCAGCGGTATCTATATCCTCAAGGAGTAGGATACATCGTTTTGGGAGGCTGTTAAAGAGCAGGATCAGGTCTTCTTCGGTCAAGGAAGCCTCAGACAGTGCGAGGCAGTAGATGTCAAGCCCAAAAACTCCAGCAAGGGCAAAAGACAAGGAAGTCTTGCCGGTGCCTGGCGAGCCGTGAAAGAGGTAACCTCGACGATATGGGATCCCGCGATTGCTATACCATCGCGCCGTCCGCGGGTGCAGGAAGTCGTTGAAATCTTTCAAAATAGCCGCCTTTTGCTCGTTATCCAGTACGACCGTGGCCATTGATCTGCTCGGTCTGTTGGCGATAGTTGTCCATGCTTGTCCACGTCCAGATCTCTGAGATTTTGGGGTTGGGCGCTTAATTGTGGTTGTGGACGTTCGACGTATGAGATGAAACTCTCGGGCCTCCTGAATCATGGTCTTGATCGGCTGAGGAGACAACCAGATCACTGAGATCTCAAGCCGTTCTCTTTCGTACACGGCGCCGGTGTATTCGCTGGCGACCCGATCGCGATTTCGGTATAGTTTGAACAATCGATAACTGTGGAAGAACCAGCCCGAGGAAGAATGAGGTCGAAATGTTGGCGGGGCCCGGGCAGACCAGTTATTGAAATTAAAGATGGTATCCTCGGGCATGCCTTCCCGGAACTGCATCTGCAGGGGGTCATCCTCTTCGTAATCTTCCAGGCCGTCGTAGTATTGCCCTGCCGTATGAGCGCGGAGGGAACGGATATTCTGCAAATACTTTTGGGCGCTGGCCCAGTTGAGGACATGGTCGTAGATGGGATCATATTCTTCCACAATCACTGATGAGGTGAGCGCTTTCAAAACAATTTGATACGCAGGTATCAGGCCGAAATGGAGGGCTGCCCATACTGTAGCCAGGATGGCGCCCCATGACACAAACAACGAGACATCGAGACCAGATCCAAGCAGGAGTGAAGCGAGGTGAGAAGAACCAGGAACCAAGGTGTCGAGAAGAGTTAATGGTAGGCGAATAGAACCAGAAGAAACACTGCAATCAGACTGGGGAGGTAGTGCCATTTGGAGTGTGAGGAGAGGGGGAGACAAGGAGACAATCTGGGTAAAAGGAGGAATGAAGTTACGGGCGATTGAAACGTTGAAATAGTCAATGGCTTGGGTTGTACTCGGCACATGTTGTGGTTTTGTAAGGCCTCGAGGGCTTGCATATGTGGACTCGAGCCTAACGTTTGCCAGGTACTTTGGTCTACGGAGCCTGGATGGGAGCCTGAACAAAACCCACCCGTTGTGAGTAACAATGCAGGATCCCGACCGGGATGTCACCAATTTTGCCAATTCGGTTGGCCCGTTGGGTCCACAAACCTCGTGTGGTCAGCCTCACGCAGAGAATACTCCATGACGCCGCGAGATCAATTCTCTTTGCCGATCGGACGCTCTTGAGCCATGAAAATCGACTTCGTGCGGGGAGGGAGACGGTCTCCCACGAGATATCACGAGATATTGGCAGAACTGCCCTTTCTCAGAAAGACACGGCGAAGGATGTGCCGTAAGAAGGGCATCGAGGTGCAGAACTAGGCCAGTTCTGTACCAAATAAGTTGGGGGTGCAAAGTTCGAGTGAGGCTCAAGGATACGAATAAGCGCCCTGCTTGTGTCCAATCGTATACGCGAACCGAACATGGCAGTTCAGCCGAGCTGTGCCAAGAGTGCGGGGCTTCTCGGCTAAGTTACCCAAGATAAATGCATGGCAGGGTATTGTGAGCGTTGATCCGTGCGGAGCTAGCAAGCCACGTGCTGCTACGGGTCCAGAATTTGACTGTGCCACCTCTACGTCATCCGGCGGCTTATCCAAGCTCAGAGCATGGCCTTCTTAAGACTGGAATGGTGAACATTTGGTCTTTAGCGCTGTAAGATTGTGATGATGTCGAGGTCGCTATATGCTGGATAGCTATAGTAAAGATATTATCCTCCGTGATCCAAGCTATACGATAACCACATACTAATTAGACAGAGTTCCTCCCAAGTATATAAAAAATTCGCTCAGCCATAACAAACAATACCACCTGGAACGTTTTGCTCTCGCCTCCAAAATCCGACAATAACTAGTGCTGTGTACCGTCAAGCTCATAGGGTATATCATAGTGCCTGAATGCCATCATCGCCAGTTGAGTGTTGCTGAAACCTCTCTGCATGTATTAAACAGCCATTTCCCTATACCAGTGCTTCATAATCTCATATTCCTCATCATACTGTGAGCGGCCGTCTCAGTTCTTTGTGCTCTACTTCCAAGAATCTCGCATTAGTCCAGCCGTTGGAACTCTCCATCATGATGGAGAGTCTCCTCCCATCCCATGGCTTCAAAATATCTGTTGCGGCAAAGCCCGTAGGTAACGTCGTGATCCATGTCAACCCGGCTTTGCATAGGGTGCGCGAAGTAATATGCTCCGTTGAATTGGAAGGCCTTACTGGATACTCTCAAAAGCGCCCTCAGCCTCCGATCGGCCACCTCCTGCTGTTGACGACCACTATGCCAATGGTCCTTGAGTCCCTCCAGGACCGGGACGACGCTGCCAATCAAGGACATGATTTGGCTCTCATGGCCCATCAGAGTCGATACTGGGCCGGTGGCTGTGACGACATCCAAAGCAGCGATTATGGCGAAGCCACTGAAAGGGCTCAACATCACAAATTGGTGAGAGTAGTCGTGCTTGTCATCGCCGTGCTCGCGCAGTCTCTGTACCAACCCGAGTGTGTGTCGAGCGTGATCGTGGACACGCTTTACACATACGCTAACCCGTGACCGATCCATCTCCGCATAGTCAATGTACCGATTCAGTACCATGAGGGTGTAGTGATAAATAACGTAGAAGCCGCTGACCTTCTCTCGTCCGTCTTGATCTTGACGAGCTTGTCTCTTCATGTGGTGGTCCCACGTCTTAAGTCGAGCTCCAATGTCGTCACGGAAGGTGCCCATCGTTGATCGATCTTTCCCCGGAGACTGCGTTTTTCCTCGGTTGACAGTGCTCATCACCTCACTGAAGATAGCCGCAATCTCTACCAGATGGCCAAAAGAACCGACCTCGGATGATTCGAGAGGAGTACCGGGCCGACTACCTTGGTCATCCTTGGGCGCTTCAAGTATAAATGGGGCCAAGGGAACGTGTCCCGCCTCGTAAGCCGCCTCAGCACAAGGTAAGCGTAGGTGGCAATCAAATCGGTTAACAGTAGTAACGGACGCGGACCAGCAACGGCTGAAGCTGTCCAGCAGATAGGCAGCCCAGAACGTCCTGCGCCGGCATTCAACCAACATTTCCTGAGACAAACCGAGGTCCAGTGGATCCTGACTCTCGATGGTCGAGACTCCCTCTTCTGTATGGTATCTCAAGCCCAACGCGGTCCGTAGGGCAGACCCACAATGGTCACTTGCACGATTGTATTGGCCTTGAGAAAAAGCGAAGAGACCCAGAATTAGCTTGGTCTGAATCAATTGCAGGCTGAACATATCACCATTCTTTATAATGGCTTTATTGACAATCTCGAGGAACACGTCTTGGTGGTGCTTCGATTGTGGTTGCCTCGATGCGAAGACGGTTCCCATTGCCAGAATAGCATAAAGCAACATCTTGTCCGCCAGTGATTTGGTCTGGTGGGAACGGATCCATTGTCGGAAAAATTCTTTGGGGAGGATATGATACGTTACGCCATCAACGTGCTCGAAATACTTGTTCACATAGTCCCATGTCAGACTGCGGTTCAATTGATAAGGGTCCAAGTCCCAAGAGAAGTCGGAGACGACTGACGGCGAAGAGATGGAACCGACAACAGATTCGGTACCCGAACTGGCGGACAACTGGCCCTGAGATCTAGGGCGAGGAGATGGAGAAACGCGAGGCCTCTTTGCTGGTGGTTGGTTGTCTGACACATCCTCGTGGCTGATCTGCTTGCCGGAGGTGGCATAGAGCATGTCGTCTAGGGGCATTGAGGACCTTGATATGGATGCCGAGTAGGCATGCTCCTGGGAGCCCATGTCCACAGAAGTCGTTGACCCTCTGTGATTTGGATAATTGTCTGGGTTCTGATTGGTGATTTTATATCTCGAGATTGAGGGCATCGACATCGGAAACGCTGAATGTCGCATCGTGGCACGTGGCCTGCACAGAAATCAGCACCGAAGATAATGAGTCAAGGAATTACTTACGCTGAGCCAAATGTGCATTCACGGTCGATGCTCTTGCACATCGTGCATTTGGGGAATTTAAAGTCACATCTCATCTTCCTCTCCCGGCATCCATCGCAAGCCTGGCCATTGCGCTTTTTAAGGTTCGTTGATCTCGAGGAGCTCCACGTGGAGCTGAGGCCATCACCATCCGAGTTCTTGGAACACATGGAGTCCTTCTCATGGGCATGACAGCTACCTGGCGGGTCGACCAATTCTTCTTCCGTGGTCGCCCGACCAGGTCCATGACTGGTACTTGCTGCACGAGGGTCAGGTGTGGCTGTATGAACTTCCGATCGACTTGTGTTTGGGTAGGCCCAGGCGCGGCCATTCATGGGATGAGACTGGGAAGGTGAGGATTGGGCCATGGCGAAAGCAGGTGTGGACGGATGCACATCGGAAGCCGTGGACATATTTGGTTGAGCAGTATGTCTGCTTGCAGGAGTGCTGCCAGGCAATGCCTGTTCCCTTCTCACCTGTTCCTGTGGGGATTGGCCAAACAAAGCGGGATTGCCAGCCCCGGCCAGGAGTGAACTGAAGGAGGGTAGACTTGGTTGTTGTGAAAGAGAGTCTCGCGCTGGCGGCTGAGCCATTGAGCCCGGAAGCCGGCTTGACGAGTCCGCTAGGGTTTGACAGAGCAATAGGTTTGATTCAGGCTCGTGCCACTCTTTCACTCGCGATTCCAGAGGTAGCACAACACCCGTTGCCATTTGCCCACTTTTTGGGTGCTATATGCAGTATCGTAGAGCGCGAAGGCCCCTATACTCCAGGCACACCAGTCTCCCGACTTTGATCGAGAGTGGGCCGTCGAGCAGCGAACCTTCTGAGTCCGACCTGGTAGAGGAAGACACAAATTGTGAGTTGAATGATTTGTTGAGGGCAATCTGTCCTGTCACCAAACCCTCCACTGCCTGAAAGTGGTCCTAGCAGGCTGAATGTTTGCGAGAGGTGCTGTTGTCCTTCAGAGCCGGGCACCAATGATTGCTCAAGACGTGCCTCATGGCAACAAGGCCACTAGAATGGTCGCCGTGAGTTACACAGCACGCGGTAGGTTGGAATGAACGGCGGGTGGCTCTTAATGCAGATATTGTGTCACCCCAACAGTGCTGCCCTGTTCCATGTGCCGCAGATGATTTCTCAACCCGCAGACCTGGCGACTCTACGGAGCAACTGGCCGTGTGTTGGCGAGGATGTGTATAAGCTCTGGCTGTTTTACTGCAACGGACGAGGTGTCAGATAAACCAAGATGCGAATGATAGAACTCCGTTGACAGATTTAATGTAGCCTGGTGTACAAGATGGAGCTGGACCGTTGTGTGTAACCCCAGAGCCCTTCAATAGATTCAAAGAACTTTTTTTCCCTTTGGAGCAGAGATGGAACAAATGGAAGTGGAGAAAGGGCCTGGAGTGCGCACAAGGTGAGAAAGTCTGTCGCGTGCGGTGTAAGCGTGGAAGAGGGGTTGGTTATCTACCTAGGCAGATACTAGGTAGCGCTGCTCTGACCAAAAGAACCAGGATCAGATCAGATGAGATTTACGGGAGGCGAAAAAGCAAAAAGATGTCCTTGTCATGAACCGTTCTTGAGAGATGTGCGCTGATTTGTGGTTTTCTGTGGAGGGCGGGCACGACGAGGTGACGGGCTGGACGGATAGACCTAGGCCTCTAGGATCGGACAGTTAGGAGTCAATGGGGGATGGCGGCCTCGTGGGCCGCTTGCATCTGTGTAACTCTGGAGGCTACAAACCAGCGTAACGCATGCCATCTGACCCTTGCCGATCGCTTACAGGGATAATGAGCGCTAAATTGTGACGGGATTGAGGTGGACTGAGGGCGGGCCGGAGGGGGGAGGCAGGCTATCCATGGACAGTGGAGGCCGTGGAATGGAGACCCGGGGGAGGGACAGGAGCAAGGGGAGGTTGATCAGGGTTTCTGGTGGGTTTGGGAGTGGATATTCCCACAGCTCAGGAGGCAGCTGGAAGGGGGAAGGGCACGGAGGTTTTAACAGCAGCGGGCGAGATACGGCATGGGTGGAGTGACTTGGAGTCGATCAACGCCAGTAGCGACTGGTGTGGGCGAAGGTGAGGGAGGGAGGTAGAGGAGAGGGTGTGTGTCTGCGTCGGAATGTGTCCAAGTGTCTGCGCACGGTCCAAGGTCGACGGAAAGGATGGGTAGGTAAGTTGGCGAGTTCTGTACGAGGATGTATGCAGGAGGCAGGTAAAGAGGGGTCCCGATGGAGTAACCCAGCTCATGATTAGGGTAGGGTCAAGAAATTTGTTGGTGCGCCACTGGCACTTGGGCCGGGGGAGGAATTGGGAAGGGCGATTAGGATTTGTGGAGAAACTTTAGGAACTCATCAATGATGGCACCGATGGTGGTGGGTGAAGGATGACCGAGACAAGAGGGAAAAGAGAGCCCGAGGTCAGCAAGAGAACGCAATGATGGGGGATGACCAGGGTGTAGATTGGGTGTGACATGTGGGAAGGAGGAAAGGTGGAAGGGTAGTGGAAGAGTGAAGAGTGGGCGCAAAAGGATGGATGGACAAAGAGCGCAGGTGAAGTTGAGGTGGAAGAAAAAGTGAGAGGTCAGACATGAGAGGTGAGAGGTGACCTGCGGGTGTTGGTAGGTAGGCGAGCTGGTGCAGCAGCTACTCCTGTAACTTACTAACTAGAGCCCAGATGATAGGCCCGGGGATCAACAGCCACCTCCACTCTAGCAACCAGAAAGCTATCCTTGACTTTTGTATTCACTTGTCCCAGTCAGTACCTTTCAGATTCAGTGCCTGCATTCATTTGCATCCAATGTCCATTCTCAACCACCACCCATCTCCGAAAACGCCTCAAGAAAGACAAACCCAGTCTGACTCATTGACTTCCTGACACATTTGACACTTGACACTTGACCACTCAACGTGCTTCCCATCCCAAGTTGGCGAATACCCTTCACAGAGTTCCGCATCGTAGCGAGAAGAAAAGAAGAAGAAAAAAAAAGAGGGCGTAGGCGCATGCAGCCACACATGGGGATCCTAAAAATTGATGCAGACATGATGGGCCACTCGACAAATCGGATGGGTCGCACAGTCTGCGATGGAGGAATACGAATCAAACCACTATCCTCTTCCAACTAATTGTAATGTAGATAGACTCGATTGGCGAAGCAATCCGAAACCACTTCATCAGAACACCAAAGGTTCCAAGCAGGGCATCCGCGGACGCCTACCATCCTTCCCTACACACCCGCTCAGTTTGTTTGCTCTTTGCAATCACTCCAAATGCATGAAATCTGCCTAATATTGATACGAGGAGAACTAGTGACTGGCTTTTAGGGTTCCAACAACAAGACACCGATGTTGAATCGACTGATTCCTCTTTTGCAGTGTCCTCCCACAGCTCTCTCTATCATAGACTTCACGTAAATTTGTCTATGCCAAACCACAGCACGGACTCCCCGCCACGGCTGGGTAAACGAGCCATTCAGTCACTCTTGACCCCAGTAGCGTTCACTTGGCGTTTGGCTGTCTGGAGCCGTCGAGGCACAGTCCCTCCAACCAAAACTCCAACCGAGCAAGCAGCATTGGAGGAGTCCCCCTTACAGCCAGTTCGGCTATTCATCCCCTTTCCTCTGCAGAACTGCTGGATACAGAGCACAAGCAATAGACGCACCGAGCATTCCAATCAACCAAAAACCAATCTTCCCAGGCGAGCGAGCCGGGCCTGAGCTAACTTCCGAGAAAAAGGGAATCTTGGTACACGGCTGCTGGTTGATCCTCTGAACTATGTACCCCGTACATACAGACTACTACACAGGAGACGATCGCTTATCTCCCGCTGTCAATGTATGAAACTTCACAAACGCCCTTGTCTACGCGGCTAGTAGTAGGAACCCAATCTCGTGAATCACGTTCGAAGTCCTCGGTGCGACACTAATGGAAATCAAGATCGCCCTGGACGCTGAAATTGAAAAGGATTGGGGTTGGGACACTCGTCTGTGCACGGGCAAGAGATGCACCTTCGCAGCCACCGCATCCACCCACACATGGCGTTCAACGCACGGCAAGATGAGGCGTCGCTACTCGCATTCCTGACCTTGGCAGCTCCCCGCGGGTTGCCCTCGCCAGCTGAGAAGAACATGGGCGTCCTCGCAGCCTGAAAGAGAGTTGACATGGTGGTTGACGCTTTAGTCAGTGGCGCTGCACTGAGTGGCCTCATGTAGAAAAAAACCCCATGCATGCAGTTGTCAGTCTGCAATACTCGATGCTGAAAGTCCAATAGTTTGGAACAACCACCCACCCTTGGCGCTGTGTGTCTCTCCCTGGCTGGCAATGAACAAGTTACCAATCTTTTTCTTAGGCCGGAGCTTGCCGTCTTGTTTTGTCCGTCCATTGCGGTCTGTTCAACTCTGCTAGACGCACCAGCGAGGAGGCGTGACAACTGGGCGACCAGACTAGTCCCAACAGTTCTTTAGATTCAGGACGGCACAAATTGGAGGCGACTCCTCTGTGAGGTAGTCGTCGTTGCGATCCCCCGTGGCAGAGCGGGGGTGCCGGCACTTTGGTCCGAGACTTGAGGGGCTGGCCTGGCCTGCCTGGAACTGATGAGGTGACGACGTACCCTCAAGTGACGCCTGAGACCGTCTTAGGGGCTCTCTTAGCGGCATTCCGCGGTTGGCGAACACGAGCCCATCGTCCCCAGGACCCCAGCTCCTCCCTGTTGTGGCTCGAATTTCGAGCCTCGTATGATAGTTCCTCTTGTTTTAGCCTCTGAGGAATAGTGTAGGATGGACACAGATTTCTGCGGCACTGCAACCAGCAGATACCCAATCATCGAGACCCATTAAGCGAGCTTGCTAGCTAGGCCGCGGCTGGGATGGGTTGAGCATCGATTTTCATTTGTCTCCAGGCTTATTTCAGCTCTTGTCGTTCCGTTGTTCCCGTCGTGACTGTGACACCCTGAGCGAGGCCTTTACTTTTGCCTTGCTGTCAGGAGTACCTTGTCCACCTGAGAGACCAGGGGTGACGGCGTCCGTGGCAAATACGACGTGGAGGATCAACAGGTTTGTGCTTGTGGTTCCTCAGGAGCACATGTGAGAACAATGGTGCTCACTAGACGCGAAATTCCCATCTCGACTGTACCTGTAGGCGCGGAAGAAGCAGCCGGGCAGGGGGTCGTGCAGTTTGATCAGGCACCGACCAGACGATTGATTTTCATCTGCAAGCTTTTGTTCGGGGTGTAGTCCTTTTCTCCAATCTCGATCCTGAGGAAACCCATTTGTGAGAGAAAGAAGGGCATGATGGTAGTAAGAGCCCAATTTACGCTGCAGGAATGCGTCCGTCGGTCTCACAGCCGAAGGCACTCTTTTCTGGGAGACTTTTCTTCAGTCCAGCCGGCAACTCATGCAGCCCAAGAGAACCGCCGATCTTCTGGCAACAAGTGGAAGGCAAAGATTGACCAAGTATCAGGACTATCCTGAATGGGCGTTTTAGGCATGGCGCTCTGTTGGTGCAAGAAAGCACGGGCTTCCCCGACCTCTCAGCTTGCTGTGGATGGCCTACTTGTACGAGGAGGTACAAGTAGGCGTCCTGGCTCCTGATGGTGCATTTGGGGCGGCTTGTCCCTGAAACTCCATGGGTCCTGTCTCTGGATCCCGCGCTGGCATCCCACACTAAAAGCTGCACTCTTTGCTGGAGATGCTCGGCGCTATTGTGTCCCAAAAGA